AGGGTGTTCAATGTACATGCCCTTTTGACCTAGGTGGTAAGGGTATGTGATCTAATGGCTTTAGGTAGGTTAGGGTATGTGGCTTTTTAAACTAGAGTGGTAAGGGTGTCTGATGTTATGATTCTAGCGTGGTAAGGGTATGTGGTCTAACGACTCAAGGGTGGTAAGGGTTTGTGATGACAAAAGGTGTTCAATATACGTGACCTTTTGACCTAGGTGGTAAGGGTATGTGGTCTAATGACTCTAGGTGGTAAGAGTTTGTGGTCTAATGATTTTGTGGTGCTAACAGTATGTCTTCTTCTAGCGTGGTAAGGGTTTGTGATCTAATGACTCTAGGGAGGTAAGGGTATGTGATCTAATGACTCTGGGTGGTGCGGTTTTGAGGTCTAATGACTCTAGGGAGGTAAGGGTGTGTGATTTAATGACTCTAGGCAGGTAAGGGTGTGTGATTTAATGATTCTAGGGAGGTAAGGGTTTGTGATCTAATGATTCTAGGGAGGTAAGGGTTTGTGATCTAATGACTCTCGCGTGGTAAGGGTTTGTGATCTAATGACTCTAGGGAGGTAAGGGTTTGTGATCTAATGACTCTAGCGTGGTAAGGGTGTGTGATCTAATGATTCTAGGGTGGTGCGGTTTTGTGGTCTAATGATTTTGTGGTGCTAACAGTATGTCTTCTGATGTCTCTAGCGTGGTAAGGGTATGTGATTTAATGATCCTAGGGTGGTAAGGGTTTGTGATTTAATGATCCTAGGGTGGTAAGGGTTTGTGACATTTTGAACTGGGGTGTTAATTGTTTGTGATCTAATGGCTTTAGGGTTCTAGGGGTATATGGTCTAACGACTCATGGGTGGTAAAGGTTTGTGATCTAATGAACTAGGGTGGTAAGGATGTGTGACCTTTTGACCTAGGGTGGTAATAGTTTGTGATCTTATGGCTCCAAAAAGGTAAGGGTTTGTGGTCTAATGACTCTAGGGAGGTAAGGGTTTGTGGTCTAATGACAAAGGGTGTTCAATGTACATGACCTTTTGACCTAGGGTGGTGAGGGTATGTGATCTAATGGCTTTAGGTAGGTTAGATTATGTGGCTTTTTAAACTAGGGTGGTAAGTGTGTTTGGTGTTATGATTCTAGCGTGGTAAGGGTATGTGGTCTAACGGGTCATGGGTGGTAAGGTTTGTGATCTAATGACAAAGGGTGTTCAGTTTACGTGACCTATTGACCTAGGTGGTAAGAGTTTGTGATCTAATGACTATATGGTGAAAACGGTTTGTTGTCTAATGACTCTAGGGTGGTCAGGGTTTGTTGTCTAATGACTCTAGGGTGGTCAGGGTTTGTGGTCTAACGAGTCATGGGTGGTAAGGTTTGTGATCTAATGACAAAGGGTGTTCAGTTTACGTGACCTATTGACCTAGGTGGTAAGAGTTTGTGATCTAATGACTATATGGTGAAAACGGTTTGTTGTCTAATGACCCTAGGGTGGTCAGGGTTTGTGGTCTAATGACTTTGTGGTGGTAACAGTATGTCTTCTGATGACTCTAGCGTGATAAGGATATGTAGTCTAATGACTCTAGGGTGGTAAGGGTTTGTTATCTAATGACTCTAGGGTGGTCAGGGTTTATGGTCTACTGACTTTGTGGTGGTAACAGTATGTCTTCTGATTACTCTAGCGTGATAAGGATATGTAGTCTAATGACTCAAGGGTAGTAAGGATTTGTGATCTAATGCCAAAGGGTGTTCAATGTACATGCCCTTTTGACCTAGGGTGGTAAGGGTATGTATTGTTATGACTTTGGGGTTGTAAGTGTCTCTGGGTGGTAAAGGTATGTGGTCTAACAACTCAAGAGTGGTAAAGATTTGTGATCTAACGACCGATTATGGTAAGGGTATGTGACCTTTTAACCTAGGGTGGTAAGGGTATGTGACCTTTTGATCTAGGGTGGTAAGGGTATGTGATTTAATGACCGATTATGGTAAGAGTATGTGACCTTTCAATCTAGGGTGGTAAGGGTATGTGGCCATTTGACCTATGGTGGTAAGGGTTTATGATCTAATGACTCCAGGTGGTAAGGGTTTGTGGTGTAATGGCTTTTTAGTTTGTGATCTAATGACCAAGAGTGTTCAGAATATGTGACCCTTTGACTTAGGGTGGTAAGGGTTTGTGGTCTAGGGATTCTAAGATGATAATTATGTAGTGTAAAAACTTAGGGTAGTAAGGGTATGTGGTCTAATGACCTTGCGTGATAAGGATATGTAGTCGAATGACTCTAGGGTGGTAAGTTCATGTGGTCTGATGACACAAGAGTGG